ATCTCTGTTCTTGAGCTGGGACACGCCTCTTCTCCCCACCTGGGGACATGGGCATTTCTCGTTCTCGCTTTCAGACTCAGAATTTATACCCGAGCCCCTCGATCCTCAGACCCTAAGACTCAGGCTGAATGACACGGCAGATGGCGGGACTTCCGGGCCGTTTCCTATAATAAATGTCCTCTTACGTATCTCTATGCGTCCCATTGGTTCTGTTCGTCCGGGGCAGCCTAATACAGGATCATTGGAGTTTTAAATCTACGCACACTGTTCTTGTGGTTCACGGGGGACAGTGCATGAGTGAGGTGTCCTCTCTCTCAGTCACATCTCCAGTCTTTCCTTGTTGAGTAGACGTTGCAGAGATCCCCTCTACTCCTGTGGGCATCTGTCAGGGGTAGAGGTGATGCCTCGTGGGGGAAGGAGCCCACTCGGTCACCCAGCATCTAGTGCGGATGGGGGGAGGGTTTACACTAGATCAGCCAGAGCCCTGGAGTCCTGCGCTCAAGGAGTTGACAATCTGGTGTGAATGTTGATGAGTCTTATATTATTATTTGGGGTTCTGAGGAAGGAGACCAGGCCTCATTCACAAGGCCTCATAATACAAGATGCACCTTGATGGGAATGGTATAAAGAGAGAGAGATTCATTCACTCCAAGGTGTGTATCTGCCTATCTGGAAAGCTTCCTGGAGGAGGAGGCATTTGATAGGGACCTTAAAAGAAAGGCCTGTCAGGAATAGATATAAACTAGGATTTTCAAAAATCCAGGGGCCATTCAGTAAAAAAAAAAAAAAAAATATTATTTAGTATATAGAAATTAAAATATGTTTTGACCAGAAGTTGAATAATTTGTCTGCAATCAATGTACTGATTAGTAAGATCTTGAAGGATTTGAGGGAAACTTTGCTTTAGTTCAGATTAGTTTTGTTTTCACCAAAGCTGTCTCTCCCCAGCTGGTTCCAGTAGATTTATTAGCTCAGTTCTGCTCGGCTAAATATCAGTTTTGTGGATGAATCATGCTTCAGAGAGCCTGTACCAAATACTGCCTGAAACACACACAAAATATCCTCTTGACGGAGACAGTTAATACATCCGTGAATTAAAAGAAGTACTAAAGCAACAGCCTATATTGAAATTCTATTAGAAGAGACTTAATTTAATCTATAATCCACAAGATCCTTGACATTGGAGACACGTACAGCTACTTAGCCTCGAAATGGCTCAGTTCTCCTTCCCCCACATGACAGGCCCAATGTACCTAAAGAAAAAGAGGGGGCTGGGAGGGCACCTGGATGGCTCAGTCGGTCGAGTGTCCCACTTCAGCTCAGGTCATGATCTCATGGTTCACGAGTTCGAGCCCCAGGTCCAGCTCTGTGCTGACAGCTGGGAGCCTGGATGCTGCTTCAGATTCTGTGTCTCCCTCTCTGCCCCTCCCCTGCTCACTCTCTCTCTCTCTCTCTCTCTCTCTCTCTCAAAAATAAACGTCAAAAAATTTTTATTAAAAAAATTTACATATATAAAAAAACAAGAATAAAAAACAGAGAACGTTCATCTTTATCAGATTGTGGTGTGGGGTTCAGGTGAACTGATAAATAATTTCCCAAGCCAGAACACTGAACAAAGCTAAGACTTTAAACTGGATGAGAGAAACTCCAGAGAAATAGTCAAAAAGTCGTCAGTCATCTCAGCCCATATGAATCTCTGCCATCCTCACAGAGTGTTTTTACCAATAATTTTTTTTTTTTTTTTTTTTTTAGTAAATTGGGAAATACCGACAAGTTGGCCATTTGTGGAACCAGTCTTGGCAAACGGATTTTCACAGAAGTGGCTTTCAGAGAACTGAGTTTCCTGAAGTCACTGAGAACCCTGTGGGCTCTCGGGATGCTTCTTGCCTGCTTCCAGGTCCCCCTGGAGTTCTAGGCTGGGGCGGGGCTGCTGCCTGAACCCCGGGGGTGTAACTGGACCCCACCCTCAAAGATCTTCCGGGAGATCGGCAGTCGACGCTCAGGTTGGTTCTGTGTCAGGTGCAGCCGGGAAGTCCCTAAAACCCAGAGTGCCGGCTTCCAGAAGATGCTCCCCCACCCCGTGGGTCCCGGCTGACCCTCTCCGCCAGCCCTCCAGCCCCCAGGGGTCAGTCCTCCTCGGGGCCGCCTGGGTCTCTTCTCCGGTGGAAGAAGTTCTGGGTGGGGGAGGTAGATGAGACACTGCTGGAGGGGCGGCCCCCGGGGCCCTTGAGGTCGGGGCCGCAGTCTGTCCCTCACCGGAGACCTGAAGAGTCCCTTCCTTTCCCAGACCCTCAGACTCCACGCTTGCTCTCCTGGGGCAACACATAAAGAGGGGTGCCCGCTGCTTTGCTCCCGCCTTGTGGTCCCATCGAGCCCTTTTCAGGAGCACCTAGCCCACCAGGGAGCAGCCCCCTCTCCTAGCTCCCGGGGCTGCCCCTCTACGAGCTCCGGTCTTTCGAGGGCCGTGTGCTCTGTGTTCAGTATCGTGCACCGTAGACGTGCAGAGGTCTGGGGAGGGGAAGAGCCAGCATCCCTGGAGCCACAGCCAGCGTGAGAAACACGACAGCACGGGCGCCTGGGGGGCCCCGGCCGTTAAGCGTCCGACTCTCAATTTCGGCTCAGGTTGTGATCTCACAGTTCGTGGGTTCAAGCCCCGCGTCGGGCTCTGTGCTGACAGCTTGGAGCCTGGAGCCCTCTTCGGATTCTGTATCTCCTCTCTTTGCCCCTTTCCCGCTCATGCTCTGTCTCTCTCTGTCTCTCAAAAATGAATAAATGTTAAAAAAAAGAAAAGAAAAGAAAAGAGATTTTACACTCCACCCGCACCAGCAGTGGGCTCTCAGACATTTGGGGCCATGGGACAGTGAAATACCAAAATTAATTTGGGGCACTGATAGGACTTTTCATTTGTCAGAGGAAGAACATGAAAAAAACATCCCACAAAACTATCATCTGCCATCACAGTGGCTTTGTGGGAGAAAGGACATTTAACACCGAAAATACAGAAAGAGCATATTCTCAGAATGTTAAAAACTGAATACACTTAAGCTGGTCAAAAAAGGTCTTCATTTCTCTTGTTTCCATACAGAGCCTGGAAACCTTCATCTCGGACCCGCTTGGTATTTAGGAGTCACTAATTTAGAAACTCAGATTTCTGTGACCCATGTGTCTAAGGGGACGGGGACTTTCTGGAAGGAAGCACACCCAGCCTGACCTCGGGGAGAACCTCTGGCTCCCCACCCCTGACCACACCAGGTCTGGCAGCTGTCTTGGCCCCACCTCCTTATCTCCACATCTTTACCTCCCCACCCCCACCCGCCCCTCCCCCACCTGCCTCAGAACCTGGTGGGGGGGGGG